GGCCAGTGCCCCAGTGCTTCCTTCTGCCACCTGCCTCCTGCACCCAGAGCCCCAACCCCACTTCTCACCGCCTACTACCTTGACAGGTACATTTCCAAGTTTGGTGGATGTAGTTTAGATCTAATGTTTCCATTGTATTTGAGCTGTGCTTTGGATGAACATTGGATAAACATCAAGGACCTATGTCAACAGAGATATGCGTGTTTATTAAAAGTCGTACAGCCTTAATTTAATAAGTGGAGCAAATAGACCATGCTCCTGAATAGGAAGCTTTTATCATGTTTGTTTTTTTAATATAATAGAATCTAAAAAAAAACCTGTGAAATTTTTACGTTCTTATTTGACCTACCAACTCCTTTCAGAAAAATAATCTCCGTGCTCTCCTGGAAATCTGTTACCTTTAAACAAAGCAGCAGAAAGAGCCCACAGTTGTAACAGGCTACTAAGCCTCTCGGTGGGCCCTTGTCCCTGGGGCTCAGTATGGGCTGTTTTGGGAAACCCTGTTCTAGAACATGCCTGAGTATTGGCTTCCTTTGGCATCTTGGACAGGGAGCTGTCAAAATCCCCGCCTCCTCACCCTCTGCCCTGTGAATGCTTCGTGATGACTATGATGCTGCCACACACTTAACATGCTTTTTGGTTCCATAACAATCCAAGATCTCCAGGTTCTAACTATACACTGAAAGCATAGCTAGGAGGTATTGAAGTAGTTATTTTTTAAAAAAAATGAATGAAGGAAGTACTTATAATAACCAATATAATATGCATTATAAAACACATTGTATATGTGTGTGTGGACACACACAAACATAAGAAACTTGTCAGTATACAAATAGGATAAACAATAGACTGATAATACTAAGGTGAGTTTTTAACAGTTTTTTTAGTATATTAAGTGATTGCTTAGCAAATAGAACTTGGAAAACCATTGGGGGGAGTCTAAAATGAGATAATAAACTCTTCTGCACAAGATAAACTTTAGAAAGAAATTAGACTAAAAAGTGGAAAGTTTTAAAAAGCACACATATAAATATAGAAAAAAAGCAAAACTGAATAACAGAGAAATATGGGACTTACAAGGTCTTGGGGAAAATGCACACTTAATCAGTGTCCCCAAAATATCTCTGATCAAAATAAAATCTTAATCTCTGGCTGGGAGCCTAGAATCTCCCTAAACGCTTAAAGTCAGTGCCTTAGGGCAAGTGTTCTGCTTTCATTTGTACATTTTGTTTGCAGATACAGTGCAGCACTGGTTCCCCTAGGGCAAGAAGCATGGTGGTCAATGACCTGGGGCCAGTGTCTGATCTGAATTCTGGCTCTGGAACTTTCCATCTGAGTGACATTGAGCAAGTTATAACCTTTCTCTGCATTAGCTTTCTCACTATATAAGATGTTGAGAACAGGGCTAGCCAAATAGTACAGGAGTAAGGACACTTGGTGCAGTCAAACCTGGTTCAATCCCAGGCACTACTCTGAACTCTGAGTGATCCCTGAGTACAGAGCTAAGAATAAGTCCTGAGCACAGAGAGATATGGCCCCAAAATAAAACAAAGAAACAAAAAATCAGAACAGTAGCAACCACCTTTGTTGAATTGTTTTTACCATGATATTTACAGTGTTTTAAAATGACACCAGTACATGATAAATGGTCAATGGATGTTGAAATGCTCTAAGTCTTCTTTGTTATATAGTAATTCTTGGACTCCCAAGGTTACAAGAAAATACAACCCCTCAAAGACAACTGGTGATATATTTTGAAAACTCAGAAATACATTCATCAATCTGTTTTACTTCTATCCTTTGGAGGTTTAAAAATCCCTGAACAGGGTTAAGTCTGTTGGCACATCCTCTATAGGTAAGTTATATGAGCTGATGAAACAAGCGGAAGGAAATCTACTCACTGAGGTCAGAGTTAAGCACATATGTTTTGTGCAATTCTGCCCCATTATATTGATTATGATACAAGGGAAATGTTTTGTTTGTCACTGAAATCTGTTTTTTAATGAAAACTGGGATCAGCAGTTGTTCTATGTAGGCAGCTTTGTTGTGGATTTAATTAAATATGGCATTCCATTATGTGTGTTTCTCTACCCTGGATGCACCGTAATTGCAATGTGAAGGTTGTGCAGAAGCAAACAGCAGGAAAACATATCACTGGGCAGAATGGAAGAGGTGGGGCAGGATCCATCTATGCCCATGACTGGAGGTCTGGCTGGGCTCAGCCTTCACACCATCCTTGCCATCTCGACTGCAGGACTCAGCTGCACTCACCGTGGCATGCTTTTCTACTTAAAACTGGGGAAGAGGTATGGGGAAGAGTCAGGAAGTTAGTTCTAGCACTGTCTCTCTGAGGACAAGTTGGGCATCTTTGGAGTTACCTTATTAGAACCAGTGTGAATCTCTCAGGTTGTGAGGAAAATGTAAGCTGGGCTGGAAAGAGAGTACAGGGAATGAGGTGCTTCTCTTGCACACATGTCTCATACAGACCCTGCTTAGAACCCCAGGACTACTTAGAGTCTCTCCAGCACTGAGCACAGAGTCAGGAGTAGCCCTGGGAACCACAGGGTGTGGCCCCAAAACAAGCACAAACAAAAAATTTTGAATAGCAAGTTTGAGAAAGTTGGAAGTTTAAGTTAAGCCATCTTTAGTTTATCTCTGTGAATTATTAATAGTGATTTAGGCATGTTCACATCATTCAGTAAAGCTGGGCCTGTACACCAAGGTATTTAATTTTTTTTTTTAATTTAAGAGAGAAAGAGTTTCTAAGAATTAAAGGACTTAAGAATTTGGAAGACATTGTAAGTCATTAATGACAGGAAAAATGCCTTTAAATATTGGCTCATGAAGAGTTCTCTTGGGAAAAATAATAACATTAAGAGTATGTGCTAGTAAATATGCATACTTAAATGTGATCAAGAAAAGCAGTTGAAAGAAATCAGCCTAAAATTTAACAAACCAGTCAGTTGCCAAGAAGCCTGATGGGTCCACGGCCACAGCTGTGGGTTCTGGAGGACACAGTAATCCTTGTTGCATTTTCTCCATGCCGACTGTCAACTGATCAGCTTTTGCAGAAATATCAATCAGAGAATACCCAGTGAAACAACTTGTTCTTGGGATCTCACAAGAAGCATTTTATTAAATTAATAATTATAATTGTTAATACTAAAATAAGTAAACGTAAATTTTTGGTCTCTAAGAAGAAATGTTTTTAAAATTCTGGCCAGGAGGCCAGAGGGAAATGAATGAGGTGGAGAGAGAGGCAGGCAGTGAGGTTGGGGTAAGGGGAGTCTGAGGTTCCTTCTGCAGGTGTGACTCAAGCTAGTATCTAATATCATTAGCTTAAAAGTAGTGTGAAGCCACTAAGTGTGACTTGCCAGTCAGTATTCCTTATATTAGAAGTATTCTTCAGTGCAAGAATGCTTTTAGGACAAGCTTGGGTCAGTAGGGGAACCATTTGGGGTAGATTGAGACGGAGCAGGAGAGAGTTACTTGGGTCATGATGGGGAGGCTGAAATGGTGAGAAGCAGATGGAGTCTAGAATGATTAAGGGAAGAGAAAATGAAGTGGGTACTTGGGTGGATGGAAAGGATGCAATTAGAGAAAGGGGAATTCAGCTGAAGCATCAGGTTCTTGAGAGCGTGACCCAATGGATAGAGGAGCTATTGACAAATCTGAGCTTCTGGGAAGAATGGCAGGTTTGAAGATGAAGTCCTGAACTCCTTTTGCCCTGTTTGTCAGGGTGGTGAGAAGTTGTCATGAATTTTGGGCTTGGACTTGAGACCAGAGCTGCTCAGAGATTTGGGAACTGCTCATGTTCAGGTTGCAATTGAGATTATGGGCGGAATGCAGGTACTTCGTGCAAATATAGAAGGCTCTGAAGTCTCCCAACATAGAAAGGGTGATGAAGAAGAACCTAAAACTGGAACAGAGCAAGGGAAACCTGAAGAGCAGCTGGGAAACCAGTAGTCAGGACAGGGGAAGGAGTTGGGGTGGGGTGGGGCGGGGGGGGGGGTGGGGGGGGAGGGGGAGCGTCATCACGCACTTTCCCGCTTCTGGGAACAGCTGAGTAGCCTCAGAGTTGAAACTCTACACGGGTTCCAGTTTTCTTGCTTCTGTTGAAATGGACTGAGCTGAGAGGAAACCATCAAACTTTGGAACAAGAGTGCAAATTTGCTACTTGTTTTTATATAAAATAATGATGCATTAGCACGGCTTTGAGTTTCACTGGGGGTTTAGAATGCTGGCATTATATACTGCTTCTTTTTCTTTTTCTGGAGAAAGTTCATTTTGTTTAACTTTCTAGCAAACTTAACTTCAGCCGTAGATGAGGTTATGAAATTAGAATAAAGACTCATGAACTAAAGTGATACCAGGATTAAAAGGACATAGTAGACCACCAGCAGTTTCCCTCTGCTTAAGTCCTGAATGCTTATTTTAGCATGATTTTTTTCTACAATGAAATGCTGATAATGTGACCAGTGATTTTCGTTTGGGGTGATGCTGATGCGGAGCTTGACATGAAAGGGAAGACTCCCTCTTTAGACTTTCATGACTCAGTGAATTCCTGAGTAAGGGTACTGAGAAACATCAGTGACATTCTCAGCAGCCTAAATGATTTATGTGACTTGAGACTGAGGGAAGCCTTATGAGTGGAGTGCATCATAGAAGGATTTTTAGATAGTGTTATCTGAGATCTTGGGAAACAGAACTTCCCCTGGAACTTTCTAGAAAAATAAGCTACTTTTTAAATAGATTTTTTAACCTCAAAGTTAAAATTTAATAGCCTGTCAAAATACAATGTCAAGTAATGTTGCTTGCTAAATTTTGTCCATTTTATTTAAATAAACATAATACTTGTGTAACCTTTTTCTTTGACATGTTGGTTGTCCAAGCCAGGTATCTTGGTGGGGTGCGGGTACAATGTAATTCATGTGGGTAATGTTTCTGATTTTCTTTTCTTGGGATACACGCTGAGTTAACCTCATTGGACTTTTCCCCAGGAATTGATGCGTGTACGTGGTGGGTCATTATGCTGCTGCACCTGTGTAGTGTGAAGGTCAGTGTTTTTCTGATTATAAGAACCCATTCATGTCATTCCATTATAAACTCACTTCACTCATAATGGAATGTGCCTCTGTGCATTGTGGTTGCCCTGCCCAGGATTTCTCTCAGGTATGGCCCTGCCACTTGAGATCCATTATCCCCTCCACTGCCTGCTCCTGCACTGACGTGATGACTCCATCGGGGATGATGTTCTCTGCATGTCAGATTCTTCTTTTGTGCTGTGAATATACTGCGTTCACAAGTGAAGTTGTACTTGGACATACCCTGTGATGGTTCTTCCAAAATTTTTCAAGATATGTGTTTCTTACAGTTGATAGGAACATTCAAAAATTTGCTGGGAGATCAGAGCAGTAAGTTTTCCTGCTAACTCAAAGTCTGCCTGTCCCTCTTCCTACCACGTACATACACACACCCTGGGAAGATGCCATCTGACTAGAAGGAGATTCTTACAGCTGGGTGGTTACTCCTGGGAAGAGCTTTCAGTTCGCTTAGACCCTTCTGCCCCAAGTCCCCTACTTCAAGTGTTTCAACTTTATAATAACTTTTGGTGATTGCCAGTGATCACAAATCACATTACCTGCACACTATGCATTCCGAGTTCTATTGGATGATTTTTCTGCATTTCTACATTTGTGATTGTCTGCTTCTAACAATTTGAAGAGGTGAGTCCAACTTTGCTCCCAATCTCAAGAATATAAGGAACAAAGGGTGGAGTCACAACTCCAAAGTCTCCTAGCTGGTGAGAAGCAGGAATTTGAAGAAGACCTCCCTTTTAGATGCCAGTGTCCTTGGCCTGCTGATGATCTAGGAATATGCACACAACCATTCCTTGAAAGAGGATTTTATTTAAAAAAATTTGAGGCCAAAGAAATACTATAGTAGGTAGGGTGCTTGCCATGCATGTAACTGATGATGGTTCTATCCTCATACCACGTATGGTCCCCTGAGCACTGCCAGTAGTGATCCCTGAAAAAAGAGCCAAGTCAAACCCCTTAAACTCAGGCCTTATCTTCTCCCATAGGGCACTTTATGATCCAGAAATATACACACAACCATCACAAATTCTCCCAAATTGGAGAGTTTGGAATTTTCCTAATTGTTAAGTTCAGAACAACATACTTTGGGAATGAGCATTTCACATACTGTCATTAAGTGAATACTTAATCGCGTGCTGTCAGGTGTTATGGAACATGACCACAGTGACAGCAACTGTTCTTTTCTCTGTTTCATATTCCAGAATGTTGTCCCACCAGAGCCGCCTCCTCATGTCTAAACTCACTGGAAGCTTTATGCCTAGGTTCGCTCAGCTATTCTGTCCTTGAATTTTCTCCGTTTGGGTAAAGCCGAGGGGGTCACTTTTCAGCACAGAGTCAAGATATCCCCTAAGCACCACAGATACCATCTTCAAATCCCCCCAAATAAAAAGAATATAAATAAATATTATCAAGAAATTCCTTTGCATCGATGTAACATTCTCACAGAATGTCGCCTTTTCTTCTCTCTGGGATGAGTACCCTTGCAAACTCAGGGTTTCTCATCCTAGAGAAACGTAGCTGACGTTTGTCAAATTTAACAGTGGGGCAGGAGAGATAGTACAGCGGATCAGGTGCTTACCTTGCATTCCCATCTGGGTCCAACCCAGCACCCCATTTGGGCCTGAGCCTGCCAGAAGTGGTTGCTCATACGTGGTATGAGGATGGAGCCATCATCAGTCACATGTATGGCAAGCACCCTACCTACTATCGTATTTCTTTGGCCCCTTGTTCTTTTAAACAAAATCCTCTTTCAAGGAATGGTTGTGTGCATATTCCTGGATCGTCAGTAGGACAAGGATACTGGCATCTAAGGGAGGTCTCCTTCAAATTCCTGCTTCTCACCAGCTAGTAGACTTTGGAGTTGTGACTCCACCCTTTGTTCCTTATATTCTTATAAGCCCTGCACAGCTCTTTGTGCCCCACCCCCAACCCATCCCGCCAGCCACCACCACCCCAAGCAAAACAGACTCACATACAAAACAGAAAACTAGATTCATCAAAAAATGCTAAACGTGCTCACAGATTATCTCAGGGGATTTTATTCAGCAATCCAGGGAATGTTCTGCCTTGACGTTTATATGGGTGAGTACTCCCTGATTGTAAGGACAGAGGATACTGACATCACAACTCAGGCTCCCAAGATGGAGTCTGTGAACCGTCCCCAGAATCACTTCTTGCATGTTGATCATCTGGAGGGGAAGGACACAGCATCCTATTTCCATTCTGTCAAAGTAAGTGCTTTTATAAAAAGTGGATTTCTTTGAAATACAAGTTTTATCACTCAAAGGGAAATATATTTTCTATAGTTCCTTTGAGGAATCAATTCTAGAAAGGGGGATAAAAAACAGACTTTTTGTGTAGTTCTAAGATTGGTTTAAAGTATGTTATGACATGAGATAGTTCGTCACCAAAATTGTCATGTGTAATTCCTCTTTTGAGCTTTTCTTTTTTGAAGAGATATTCAGTAAGTTGTTTGTTTTAACAAAAGAGTGCCAGTTTTGTATACAGTCACAGACATCTCTCTGGCATGGTTGTGCTGGGTTTAGAGCCCAGAATTTTCTTTTTTAACAAGAACTGGAAGTCCCCTCATATTTCAGTCTCCTCTCATGACTGTTTCCACACCATAAAGTTTATGGAGAATATTACAATGCTGGTGTTCTGCAGCTGTAATGTTTTGTGTCAGCAGATATGAGTCCCAAGTTTGCTCTGCTAGCTTGCTTTTGAAAGCTTGTTTTACACAGTTTTAAACAGTAGTTCAGTGTTTTCATGATCACAACTAAATATAAACTATAAACATGTGTTTGCTTTATTCTGTTGCAGAGATTTTTGGTCCAAAGCGCAATTGTGGAACATTTTATTCTCCTTAAATTTTCTATTTTTCACATATTTTGGAATTTATATTATTTTTAATTGAATCACCTACGAATTGCAAGGTGATTCATAATTGAGTTCCACACAATTATGAAATGTTCCAACATTTGTGAAATGTTCCAACATCAATCCTTTATACAGAATCCATTCCCTCCATGACTGTTCCCAAATTTCCCTCCTGCCTACTCCTCCCAACTCCCAGCCAGATTATCCTGGGTTACCCTCACCTTAAGTGACCACATGAACTGCTCGAAATTTTAAGTCAGACCCTGGGGTAATGAACAAGCTCAGAGTGGTGTGGATATTTTAGTTGGAAGCAGGGACCAGTTATTTGTTATTCACTAAGCATCTGTTGATTGAACACCTCATTCCTACCAGGCAAAGAGCTGTGAATAACACAGTAGTCCCCTGCCCTGTGGACACTAGTTGGGAGAAGATAGTGGTCAGAAAATGAAAACTGCATAATTTTAACATTACATAATTTTAGGAACTGGGAAGTAAGGTAAAGGCCCTCCCGTTGATCGTCGATTTGCTCGAGCGGGCCCAGTAACGTCTCCATTGGAGACTTTGTTGTTACTGTGTCTGGCATATCGAATACTCTCGGTAGCTTGCCGGGCTCCCCGAGAGGGGCGGAGGAATCGAACTCGGGTCAGCCATGTTGGCCGCTTGTAAGGCGAATGCCCTACCCGCTGTGCTATCGCTCCAGCCCCTAGCACAGCGGGTAGGGCGTTCGCCTTACACGCGGCCAACATGGCCGACCCGAGTTCGATTCCTCCGCCCCTCTCGGAGAGCCAGGCAAGTTACCGAGAGTATTCGATATGCCAGACACAGTAACAACAAAGTCTCCAATAGAGACGTTACTGGGCCCGCTCGAGCAAATCGACGATCAACGGGAGGGCCTTTACCTTAGGAACTGGGAAGTATGCGGAAGAAATAATCAGGACAGGCATAAGTGGAGAAGGTAGAGCTCAGAGACACCCTGTGTTCACTTGTTGCACTTTTTGTATTGTTTGAGTGTTTTCATCCTGTCTCTCATGCCATGTATAACTTGAACTTGTATAAAAAGTTACCTCAGAGTTTACCCCCTGGGCTCCCAATGGACCTGTTTTCTTGTTTTATTTGACTGCCAATGTTTAGGACTCTTCTTCTTCTTTCTTTATTATTTTAAAAACAGTTCACATAAAACTCAGAATCCTGCTTTTTCTGAAGAAAATGAAAACCTCTTTCAGCAATTGGCCACAGTGGGCAGTGGATGAATGACATCAGAGGGGCACGTGGCGTCCAGGTTGCCCTGGCTCTTGCTTAGTTCTCCTTCTGCCTCCTGGCAGTCAGGAGTGCTGCCAGCCCTGCAGTGCCCAGAGCAGTGACACACCAATATCAGGGACCCTTCTTAGCACTTGTGCTAAGGAAAGGCACTTGTGCGTGCTTTCTCCTCTTGTGCCATCTCTCTTTTGGGGCTGTAAGAGGCTGCTTAGGTGACAAGCTATCACAGCCTAAGTTTCAGAAAGAATTAACTGATCAAAAGGTGAACTGATCTTTTTGCACTTTCATAGTATCTTCACACTAGCAATTTTATGGGACTGATGTAACACCTAATTTATTTTCACTTTTGACGGTTTCAGGTCAAAATATCTAAACTTTTGAGCTATGGGTTCTTTATATTCTGTCTCTATAATACTCAAGTCCAATCTCTTATTATTTTATCTTTGATATATAATTCCTACTGCCAATTCCTTCCTATCTCCTTCCCTTGCTACAGTGGAATTCTAAACACACGCTATTTTGTTCCAGTTGCCCTGAAATTATTGCTGTTGGATTTCCAGAGTACTATGCCATTTGTTAGGTAGAATGTTGTGTTATTAGGATGTCCTATCCTCTTACAGAAGGCAGTGTTCTCTGAGCTTAATCAGTACATACCATGCATTTTATTCGTTTGCTGAATAAATCAGAACTTACTCCTGATGCTGAGATTATTGCTGACAGTGCTCAGGGGACCATATATGCTGCAAGGAATTGAACTGTGATTGTCCATATGAACTATGATTGTCCCCCTGTTCTGTCTCTCCAGACCCACCCCCCCATGGAA